TTCTGCAAAAGGAATATTTATTTGGAGCTTCTTAAACATTTCCATGAATTTAGAGAACTCCTTATCCCATTTCTGTTTCTGCAAACGTTGTGGAAACGGCATGGGAGGCACAAAAGGACTCTGTTCACCTCTATTAGAACATGCAACTAGATCTTTTTCTTTCTTTTCATGTTCCACATTCTTGCTATCTTTTATTTTTCTACCCTCAGTATCATCTCCATGTGATTGTTTTAGAGTTCCACTAACAACCTTAGATAACTCTATTCCGCTTTGTAATATAATAGTATTGCAGTGCTCCTTACCTTCTCTCTTAGGATTGATCTCCGTATCACTAGGTAGAGTACCTTAAGGTCGGTTGTTAATGGCAGTAACAAGTTGACCCATTTGATTTTTCATGTTTTGGATTGATACATCCAGACTGTTCATCTTTGTCTCATTATGTGCTATGTACCTAGAAAGCAGCTCCTCCAAATTTGACTTCTTTTCTTGTTGTGGTGGAGCTTGATTCTGAAAGCCTAGTGGGTATAATTGTCTTGGAGCAGAGGTTTTGGCTTGATTATTGTTCCAATAAAAGCTCGGATGAGTCCCCCAACCAAGGTTATAATTGTTGAAATTATTGTCATATTGCTACTTGTTGAAGTTACCAACGTATTGTACCGACTTTGATCTAATTGCACATTGATTGCTCAGATGGTTCCCGGCACACAATTCACACACAACTGCAACACTCTGAACAGGCTGCACCCCTAAAGCATCAATCTTCTTTGTCAATGTAGCAACATGTGTAGCCAATGTAGTAACCGCATCAACTTCATAAATTCCTGCTACCTTTGGCTAATTGATCCTTGCAGAGGGCCACTGATAATTGTTGGCAGACATTGTTTCCAATAACTCATAAGCTTCATCAAAATTTTTCCCCATCAATGTCCCACCTGTACTAGTCCAAGTAGCACTAAACAACCCGTTGTAAAATGTTTGAACTTGCAACAAATTAGGAATACCATGGTGAGGACATTTTCGGAGTAAATCCTTGAATCGTTCTCAAGCTTCATATAGAGTCTCAGAATCATGTTGTGCGAATGAAGTGATGTCGTTCCTTCATTCCTCATCCTTGAAGTTTTAGCTGGTGGAAAGAATTTAGCTAAAAATTTTTGAGCTAAATTTGTCCATGTGCTAATAGAACTCGACGACAATGAATGTAACCAACTCTTTGCCTTATCACGAAGTGAGAAAGGAAAAATTCGGAGTCTAATTGTATATTTAGAAATCTCGTTGTATTTGAATGTGTCACAAATCTCCAGAAAACTCACCAAATGATTATTTGGATCATTATTAGGCAAACCCCCAAACTGCACTAAAGTTTGAATCATTTGGATGGTACTAGGCTTGGTCTCAAAACTGCTTGCTTGAATTGCGAGCCTTTGAATGCTCTATTGTATTTCCATAACAAGCGGCATAGCATAATCCCTTAGCAATTTTTGTTCTTCTTCAGCCATAGTTTCTTGATTATTTATTTCTTGACAATGCTTTCGCAATTTTCGGAGCCTTCTTTAAATTTCGTCTTTGGCACGATAGTAGCTTTTGACCTGTTGATCTGGTTTGGATACAAAATTCAAGAGTGCTTGTGAAAAAAATTAAAATAGAAAATTAAATAAGTTTAAACTAAGTTCAAATTGATTGAAATTAATATTGAAATAATTACTATAATAATTCCCCGACAACGGCGCTAAAAACTTGTTGTCCGAATTTAATATTGACAATTTACGTGCAAGTATACACGATCAACAAGTAATAAAGTAGTAAGTAGAGTATCGTTACCACAGATAATTATTGCTAATAATATCCAAGTACTAACTTTGTATCAATTCAATTTTATTTAAACAATTAAAATTGAACTATGGAATGACTAAATTAAAACTAAATCTAAATTTAACAATCAAGGGTTGAATTTACTAGAGAAAAGAAGTCAAGATTACAACTTCCCCTAATGCTTCCTATAAACCTTTCTAACTCTCTTTCTTGTTAATTGATCAAAATAAGTTATTAACTGAGAACTTAAAGTATTTATCAAACCTCTTCTGATAGTTAAATAAAATTATCTCTCCCAATTAAATTACTATATTCCTATGAAAAATAATTTGGAATAGATTCATTAAGTTCAAAGTCTCATAAAAGTTACACACGACATTTAGGTATATTTCTATCCTATACACAAACTCAGCAATTCAATCCAAAGAAGAATTAACCAAACGTATGTCATCATATTCAGATCTAAACCTAGAATTCATTTTCCATTTTTATCTAGGTTATCAAATTGATTGGTGGGTACTCAATCATATATTAAGCACAAAATATGACAAACAACTTATATATGATCAATAAAACTAGAAATGAGAGTAGATCAATTTAACTAGACATTAGGTTCCGTTGCAATCTTAATAACAATTTAGTTCATAATGTAATTGAAAATAATCATTCTCATATTAAACAACATCTCATAAAATCAAGAATTAAAAGTAAGAGAAAAGAATAAAAATTTAGTTGCAATCTTCAACCCTTCTCTATCTTTCAAGTAAAATCTTCATTGTGTCGATTCCTTCAATTTTTGTCTTCAATTTTCTTCCAATTCCTTGGCTTTTCCAAATGCTTCCAGCCCCCAAAAGTCAGTATATATCATCCCCACACAAACCCTAGCATATATGTGGCTTTAGGGTCCAATTTTGAGTCAAAAATAAGATAAAATTCGCGACACAGACCAACACAAGCGTGGGGGCACCCAAAATGGCGCAAGGGCACTTTTTTGGACAATAAGTTGGCGCTGGGGCGCGCCCCCCCCCCCTTTCAGGCCTAAAATGCCCTTTAGCTTCCTCTTCCAAAAATCCAACTTTTTGGCTCCAAATTAACCTTGTTTCTTTCCAAATTGTCATAATTTCTTCCAAATGATCATTCCTACAAAATAACATCAAAACACACAAAAAAATAAAATAAAAATTAACATAAAATAATTGAAAACTTACAATTTTATTAAGCCGAAAGTACTCAATTCGTAAATATAAAATCCACTCATCAGAGCATCAGTTGAATGATTTGTTGATTTTGTTTTACCAGTAGTTTCATAGTCTGTAAGAGTTGTTGCTGTTGTCCAATCGTAGTAATAGATGGTTCCAAGGGTGCAAGGAGAGGTGGAGCCTCCTCTTGGTGAGTCGGGTTGTTGTCTCCCGGTTGTTGACTCATCGATCTGGAAGTGGCCTTGGAGCATTCTGGCTAGGGGCCCCATGGTTAGGGGCTACCTGACACCTAGAAGGGATGGGGTGCTGCTCCTCTCCTGTTGGAGGGAGTGGTACTCCTCCTACAGGGTGAGGAACGATGCCTCCCTAGACGAGCATCAGTTGAATGATCCATTGATTTTGTTTTACCAGCAGTTGCATAGTCTATAAGAGTTGTTGTTGTTGTCCAGTCGTAGTATTAGATGGTTGTGAGGTGCAAGGGGAGGTGGAGGCTCCTCCTGGTGAGCCAGGTTGTTGTCTCCCGACTGTCAACTCATCGATCTGATAGTGATTGCCATGGATTGAAAAAGAGTAGAAAATTAATAGTTTTCCACAGACGACGACAAACTAATAATGCACAAATCGGTATTGCACAAAATCAACAATCAAGGATGTGTACGAATGCAATCAATAAGCAATAAACAATCAATTAATAATAAAGTTGTAAATAAAGAAACCACACAAAGATTTATAGTGGTTCGGTCTGGGTGACCAACTCAACTCTCAGGAGTGGCAGCGGTGACCTAAGTCTTTTATTAATGAATGAAATTGTCAGAGAGAGTATATTTTTAGGAGTATTATATTGCTTTTGCGAGAGAGAGAGAGAGAGAGAAAGAGAACAATGTGTATAGGGAGGTGTAGTATGTGTAGGGATCTCAAGGTGTAGAAGCCTCAAAAGGTGATGTGAAGATGTCTCTCCTTGTGGAGAGAGCTTGCATTATATAGGTTTACAAAGGTGGTGAGGCGGTGACGTGAAGGAGAGGTCTTCCACTATTTTGGTAAGAACAGTTATGCAGGATTAGATCTCCGTATCCCGAAATTCTTCCCCTCGTGTTCCTGTTTCGTCGGAGAAAGATCTTGAGTTGGGTTGGAGTTGAGTTGGAGAGACCAAGTGAGGAAAGAGACCATTGAGGCGATACCCATATGAAGAGGGAAGAGCATGGCATGGAGAAGAGCAGGGTTCCCCTTGGGCAGCTCCCTTGGGTAGCACCTATTGGGGTCTTCTTTGAGCGCTGGTCTCTTGGTTTCCCTTTGGACCTGGTATCTTGGGCTCCTTGTTGACTTGATGACTTGGGCTTCAAGATGACGTGGGTCTCTCTTGATTTGTTGGGCCTGGCCTAGTTAACTTCGGGTTCATCAAATATGATTATTGGATCTTTAAAAGAGAATAAAATCTCTCAATTGAAGATTTAAGTATGTATTTGAATTTTCCTTGATTTGAGTAAAAAAAAATATCCCTTGATTTGATATGGTTATCCATTAAAAGATGATGAAATCTCACCATTAAAGATTTGAGTTTTAAAAATCTTTCTCTTTGGGTTTAAAAAAAGTTTTTTTTTTATTTATTTGGTATGGGTATGAGTCTAGTATTGAAAAATATTTTAGATAATTTTTATCTATATTTAAATTTAAGTATAAAAAAGGTAAAGATGGGAAATGTTTTATTGAATTTTTTTTTAAAGAATTTTTTGTCCAAATTTAAATTTGAGCTTAAAAACAGTAAGATTGGGGAGATTAAGTCGGTTTCTCAATTTGGTTTTTATGTTTTGAAGATACGAGTGTCTTTCTTCACTCTCTCTTCTGTCTTTATGAAATGGCTTCCACGACACCCTACAGCTCAATCTCAACACCCCAAGTAGAACACGATACATCCACAGCCATCAATTCGTATTCATCCTCCTCAACAGTCTGATTCGGCACTCCTGAGGCCCTCAAACACGTTTGAAAACTCACCGATGTAGGAGCCATGACTCATCTCCTCCATGAATGCATTGCCTACCAATGAGCCTTGGATCTTGAACTGGACACCATTCTCTCCCAACGCTCCAATCTTGACAAATAACTCTCCAACCTCCACAAATCCACCGAGCTCCTTGAGATCGTCAAGGCTGATTCTAACCACCTGCTCTCCAATTTTTGCTCCATATGCGATCTTCCCAATCAAGTCAGTGGCAAAGTCCACCAAATTGATCTCGCTCAGTCCCACGTCAATGACACTCTTTTTTGCATCGACGCCATCGTAGAGAGAGGCAATTGCATTGATGGTGTTAAGAAAGCTCTCCAAACTGAAGATTTTAAATTGGCTACTAAATACATCCAGACCTTCCTCTAGATTGATGCCAAATACAGACATTTTGGTTCAGATCAGAGAGAACTGTTGCTAGCATCAGAGAAATAGTTGGAAGGAATTGTCTGGAAGAGATTATCGGCTGCTGTGGATCAACGGGACCACCCGGCGATCCTTCGGTTCATTAGATTATACTCTCCTCTCGGTTTGGAGGAAGAAGGATTGCAAGTGTACATAAGTTATTTGAAGAAAGTAATTTCGATGAGATCTAGGCCCGAATTCGAGCAATTGGTGGAATCGATGAAGCAACAACAATCCTCTGCCGCTGTTACTAATCAAAATCAAGTGAACTTTGTTGCTTGTTTGACTAATTTGTTCAAAGACATTGTGATTGCCATTGAAGAAAATAATGAGACTTTAAGGATTAATCTATGCGGTAAAGATGGAATTATGTATGCCATATGTGAGCTCCAAGATGAGTGTGATTCTCGGGGTTCCTTAATTTTAAAGAAATACATGGAATATTAAAAATTGGTTAAGTTGACATCCGAAATTAATACTTACAAGACTAACCAACTTTCTGTTGGAGTCCAAGGACCTGACCCAAGGGAGATCGAATTGTATTTGGAAGAGATTTTGCAATTGACATAGTTGGGTGAGGACTACACTAATTATATGGTGTCCAAGATAAGAGGTTTTAGTTTAGTTAATCTGGAATTGCTTTCCCGAGCAACCAGAGCTTTTAGGAGCGAAAATTTCAGTAAAGTTGTTCAGGACATTACGGGTTATTATGTGATTTTAAAGGGGTTCTTCATGGTGGAAAATGTGAGGAAGGCTATTAGCATTGATGAGCATGTACTTGACAGCCTCACAATGTCCATGGTGGACGACGTGTTCTATGTTCTACAGAGTTGCTATAGGAGGTCGATATCTACTTCTAATATTAACTCAGTGATTGCAGTACTGAGCAGTGCTGTGAGTTTGTTGAGTGGCGAGTATAATGAAGCGTTGGAGCAGAAAATGAGGGAGCCTAACCTTGGAGCGAAGCTGTTTATGGGTGGTGCTAGTGTGCAAAGGACTGGGACAGAGATTGCCATAGCTTTAAATAACGTGGATGTTAGTAGCTATTATACACTGAAACTACGGCATAAGATTGAAGAACAATGTTCAGAGGTCAATGGCAATTGTACTTCTCTTTTGGTTACTTCTATTCAGTCCCCATCTTTTTTAAGGATTTTTTTTGTTTTGGCTCTTTGTCTGGGTAGAGCTTTGCATTCAAAGTTTCATTTCTTAAAGGAGTATACTAAAATTACTGGTTCATACATAACATAATGTGGTCTTGGCTTGCTTCTCTTTTCATATACAAATTTTATTTATTGGAACATAGATCTCTCTCATTTCTGGTAATAGTTTAGGGACCTTGTTTAGCTTGGGTACTAAATTGAGTCCCAACATCAATTTGAAAATAGTGCCACATGTTATATTTCTGGATAGGAACTTTTAGGTACTCAACTCTTACAGTTTGAACCATGTACAACGTGATGAGGCTAAGTTCACCGAGTTAGCCCGTTTTACCTGCGATTACGTGGCCACAAACATGACCAATGTGAGGAGGTTTGAGGATGGTCTAAAACTATCCATTCGGGGAAAGATTGTGGGCCTCCGCCCACAAGATTTGGATTCGATGGTCGAGACTACAATGACCATTGAAGGAGAGGTGGACGATACGAGGAACATTCGGGAGGCTAAAACTAAGGATAGAAAGAAGGAGGGCTAATCCTCTTCTTCTAGTTTGGGAAAGAGGTAAAGGACTTCTACTCCCCAAGGACATCAAGGACTGGGCCGCGGCTACCAAGGCCAAGGCCAAGGTCAATCCTCCCAAGGCGGGACACACTTTAGGGCATCCAGCCAAGCAGACTCACGGGCGTGTTTCTATTGCCACCAACTGGGGCTATGAAGTGGGATTATTCTTAGAGGCAAGGATCCCAAAGCTATGGAATATCTCAGTCCCAATCATTAGTGGGGTAGCCACAAACACACTACGTTCCTCCCAACCCTCCATGGGCCAGGGAAGCCAGTACCAGTTCTAGGGTACTACTTAGGTCCCTACCACTTTATGAGCAGGGACTCCGTAATTAGGCCAAATAGGCCAGGGCATGGGTCGAGGCCGAGGACAGGGCATGCAGGCCGAAACTTCAGGGACCCAAGGGCGTGTATACGCTATCATACCTCAAATTGAGCCAGCAGATTAGTTTGTTATCCAGCGTACATTTTTTCTCTCTCACTTATGGGCTAGGGTATTATTTGACTCTAGTGCATTGCATTCAGTCATTTATGCATCTTGCGTCAGAGATTTGGGCTTAGAGGTTGAGACTTTGGAGGAGCTATACATGAGTTCTCCCCTAGGAGCTAGGGTGACTGTTGATCAGATATGTCAGGGTTAATAGGGATCTCAGGGATTCTACTCACCATGGACCTCAGAGTCATGCACATGTCAGAGTTTGATGTTATCTTTGGGATGGACTGGTTGACGGCACGCCGAGTTGTCATTAATTATGATCGGAAGAGGGTCACAACTTATACGCCTAATGGTGTTTGTTTCAAGTTTCGAGGGGTAAAAACACGATGCCTTAACCCAAGTCCTATACGACTCTAGATAGCACGGGCAATTGATGGGTTTGCTTGTGAGCCTAACCTTGGAGGACGAGGTGAGACAGGAGTTGGGTTAACCTTGGGTTGTCTATGAGTATGAGGATATTTTTTTGGATGAGCTACTTGGATTACTTTCCCATAGGGATGTGGACTTTAGCATTAAGTTACATCCTGGTACTTCTCCTATTTCTATGACTCCACATAGAATGGTATCTTCCGATTTGTAAGAACTTAAAGTCCAACTGCAAGAATTATTAGACAAGGGTTTTATCAAACCAAGCACTTTATCATGGGGTGCTCCGGTATTGTTTACCAAGAAGAAAGATAATACTCTTTGGCTATGTATAGACTACCAGCAGTTGAATTGGGTTACTATCAAGAATATGTACCCTTTACCAAGGATTGATGATGTGTTTGATCAACTGAGGGAAGCGCGGGTCTAGTCCAAGATAGATCTCCGCACGGACTACCATCAGTCGAGGATTAATGAGGCGGACATCCCTAAGACATCATTCAGAACGCATTACGAGAATTTTGAGTTCACAGTGATGTCATTCGGATTGATGAATACCCCAGCGACATTCATGGATCTCATGCATAGGGTTTTCCAACCCTATTTAGATTAGTTCGTAGTGGTGTTTGTAGACAACATCCTAATCTACTCCAAGTCTGAGGAGGAGCATAAGGGTCACTTGAGGATTGCCCTCCAGACCTTGAGGGACCATCAGGTGTACGCCATGTTCAGCAAATATGAATTTTGGTTTACAAATATGAAGTTTTTGGGACATGTGGTGTCGACTTCGGGGGTATCCGTGAACCTGGAGAAGGTTGAGACAGTAATGAATTGGAATAGGCCAAATTCAATCTTTGAGATACGCATTTTCTTGGGATTGGCTGGGTGTTACAGGAGGTTCATCAAGGATTTCTCCCGATTAGCTGCCCCTATAACGATATTGACCCGAAATGAGGTCAAGTTTGAGTGAAATAATTCGTGTGAGAAGGCATTCTAGGAGTTAAAGAGGAGGCTTACTTTGGCTCCTATTTTGATAGTCCCGGAGAGTGGACAGATGTACACAGTTACTCTAATGCGTCTAAAGATGGACTTGGTTGTGTTTTGATGCAATCCAAGAGGGTGGTGGCTTTTAGTTCTCATCAATTAAAGAATCACGAGCAAAATTACCCCACACACGACATGAAGTTGGCATCCATTACCTTTGCTTTGAAGGCTTGGCGCCACTATTTGTATGGTGAGAATTTTGAGGTATTTTTGAACCATAAAAGTCTGAAGTACATCTTTACTCAGCAGGACCTCAACATGAGGCAACGCAGGTGGATGGAGTACTTGAAAGATTACCACTTCACTTTGTATTACTATCCCGGTAAGGCAAACATGGTGGTTGATGCACTCAACCTGAAGTCGTGGAGAGTCTTGACTAGTGTGGCTTCCTGGCAGTGACAAATGCTTGAGACTATGGGACAGTTCGGGCTACACTATAGGGGTCAGACACCGGACATTTTGGGGAGCTTAGTGGCAACACCTTCCATACTGAGCAGGGTGATTGAGTCCCAGAGGTGGGACACTGAGTTATCATCCATCAAGGATCGGGTACATGCAGGTATAGGTAATGAGGGTTGGGCCATTCATGCTGATGAAAGTCTTCGGTATAGGGGAAAGTTGTGGTTTCCCAGTCGACGAATCTGAGAGAAGAGATCCTTAGGGAGTTCCATTGCTCCCATTTTGCGGTTCATCCAGGTGACATGAAGATGTATCATGATCTTCGTTGTCTGTATTATTGGAGTGGAATGAAGAAGCAGGTTGGCGACTTCGGTAGTAGATGTCTCACGTGTCAGTAGGTTACGGCTGAACACCATGGACCACCAAGTTTGCTCCAGCCATTGGAGGTGGCTGAGTGGAAGTGGGAGCACGTTACGATGGATTTTGTGACACACTTGCCACAGACATCACGGGGGGCATGATGCGATGTGGGTGATAGTGGACCGGCTGGAGGAGTTATGTAGGTTATATATATGAGAGATAGTCTGGTTACATGAGGTGCCCATATCTATAGTATCGGACAGGAACCCCAGGTTTACGGCTCACTTTTGGGAGAGCTTCCAGCGAGTCATAGGGACACAATTGACGATGAGTACGGCTTTTCATCCCAAGACGAACGGTCAGTCGAAGAGGACAATCCAGATTCTAGAGGACATGTTGCGAGCATGTGTCCTAGACCTTAAGGGGAGCTGGGAAGAGCATTTACCTTAGTGGAATTTGCTTAGAACAATAGTTATCAGGCGAGCATATAGATAATACCCTATGGGGCACTATATGGGAGGCCTTGTCATTCTCCGGTGTGTTGGACGGTGGTTGGAGATAGACCCTCTATGAGTCTAGATTTGATTAGAGACACCTTGAAGAAGGTGGACTTGATACGAAAGTGTCTTCTTACGGCTTAGAGCCGATAGAAGAGTTATGCCGACAAACGACAGTGACCTTTGGAGTTTGAGGTAGGAGATCACATCTTCTTGAAGGTGATGCGTAAGAGAAAAGAGGTCAGGTTCGAAAAGCAGGAAAAACTGTAGCCGAGGTTTATCGGGCCCTTCAACGTACTCGAGAGTGTGGGTACAATGGCTCTGACGTTATCGCCAAATTTATCAGGTGTTCATGCGGTGTTCCATGTCTCTATGCTCTGAAAGTATACTCCGGATCTGACGTATGTAGTTGATTGTTAATGCGGATGGGACCGGTGCGTATCATGGATAGCTGGGAGCAAATTTTGCGAGGTAAGACCGCGATGCTAGTGAAGGTGCTATGACATCACCGAGGTATGGAGGTGGCGATATGGGAGCGTGAGAACACCATACGTACCAATTATCCATTCTTGTTTGCGGATGGAGGTACATTTTTACAATTTTAAGTATAGTATTATTATTGCATATGCATATTATTATGTGTGCATGTATGTGTGAATTTCGAGGACAAAATTCTTTTAAGGGGAAAAAATGTAAAATGCGGATAAATTTAAACTTTTTAACAAAAAGGGCAAAACGATAATTTGCCACTACAGTTCAGGTTAAACACCTGAATTTTTCTAGATCTCAGGTGATGAAACAGACCTAACCGTTGAATTCGTCTCACGAAATCTATCTACCACCTCAATTTTCGTCTCGGGTGACCCAAAGATGAATTTTTGAATAAAATTTTGAAAGTTAGAAAATAAATTAAAGCAAGTTAAAATAAAAATAATTTGAAGTTGAATCGAGATGAAATTTAATCATTTCGGGGCGAAACGAACCCGAGAAAAGAGGGTCATGTGGCACATTGTGGACCAAGTATTTAGGGGGTATAAAATGGGGTGAAATATCGTATTTTCCTCCATTTTTCAGTCGGTTTCAACGTGAGAAAGAAGTAAGGGAAAAAGGCTTGGGTTCTCCACCTTCTCTCTATGATCTACAGAGATTCGTTGCTCGAATCAACTCAAGCCAAGAGCAAAGATTGTTCTACGCAGCAAGGCCTAAAAAACCATACCAAGAAGAACGGATTTCACCAAAGTTCCAAGAACAAGCTTGGAGAAATAAAGGGTTTTGGACGAGAATGAGGTTCTTAAAGGCTTCTACCAAGTGAGTTTACGCTTCAAGAGGTAAGGTTCCCTCCTACTTAGGTTTATTTCCAACCTAGGAGGTTTATATGAAATGGGTAGGTTGATAGATTTATATATATCACTTGCCTATTATGGTGATTTGGTGAAATGGGTATTGAAAATGGGTAGAATAAATTCTATCTTAAATTGAGTATGTAGAAATTACTTAGTGAAATTTCTTGAGAAATGTGAAAATTACTAATTTGTAGTTTCTTAGTAAGAGTGTTATTGTGGACATGTTATGTGTTTACATTATGCCTTGTTGAATTTAGTGTGCCAATTACATGTTTATGTGATAACATGCTTGGGAATTGTTGTTGTGTATGATGTTAATATATGTTTTATGATATGTTAGCATTATGATGAATTGTGGAAATTAAATGCTCTTGATATAATTGACAATAGAATGGTGAAATTGCTCAATTGACATTCATCGCATATTGGGCATGATGTTGGCATCACATTCATGGGCATTGGGCATGAGTGTGGGTGTGTGTGTTCAAGGTTCAATCAAACATCATACTTGGTGGATGATGGGTGGACTCGGGAAAAGTTAGAATGAAATTCTGACAGAGTCGCGCGGTTGGATGGAAAAACTTGTGTCGGGTATAGCCAGAAGGGCTAGACTCTCCCTCGAGTCCAAGACCTGGCTCCTGGTTTATACACTTTCGTCAGTGCAAGTCCGAAAAAGTGTATCCATGTGCGGAGCCAGTGGTACAACACCAAAAGTCCACTACCCAACAAAGACACATAATTTTTTTTATATAAAATTGTCATTCGGTGTGTAACACCAATGACGGGGGCTTGGAAGTGCCCTTTTTCACACAATGGGGTTGCATTGTGTGGTGGGAGCGGATGAGGGCTCAGGTTAGAGTGCATTAGTGAGTTTCGTCTCAGATCATAGCATGACTTGGTATATTCCAACATTGAAAGGATGTTCTTGTTTCGATGTTGTGGATTGTTGAATGTTGCTTGTAGACCTTTCATATGCACTTAGGTTGGAGAGTAGCCTCTTTAGGAGATTCTCTTTTGAGTGTGACTCACCCTTTATGGGACAACAATTTCAGGTGCGGGGTTTGCACTAACGGACAACTCCCATTTCGAGCCTCGAGGATGAAGAAAGCCGACTTGTGGCTTTTATTGCTCATTTTGTAAAACCATTATGAAAATTTCATTTTGATGTGTAAATATATGGAATTGAATGTAATAGAACTTGTAAGTATCATGTTTATGTGAAAAACTCTATTAAACTTGAATTGGATGGTTGTGGAATGGATTGTGTTGGTTTGGAAATAAAAAGCAGGTGAAACAAGCAATTCCAGGTAAAATCTACCAGTAGCTTTTCCAAAAATCTAATATTTTAATAGAACTTTTCTAGTGGATCAAACCTACCGGTAGGTCCATGCAAACTTACTGATAGATCTTTCAAAAATCTAAAATTTTAAAAGTGCTTTGACATGTTTTTGGGCTATGCATTTCCTCATTTCAAAAGGTGTAAATAGACCCTATTCGGGTATAACTTGAGGTATATTGGACCTCAGATGGGTCAATTGAATTAAAAGTATAAAGGTTGTGGATTTTTGTCATCCCGGTAAAGGGGATGTGATATCATGGTGTCGGGTTAAGCGGCATCCACGGGTGTTTCACATGTTGATGAGTGATCAACAGTTTCACAAAGGACCCCCGATTTTAGGGGCGTCATAGTACTGGCTTTCATGATCATCATATTTGCTTTCTCCGTCTTCATTCTCTTGCGTAGGTACTTGTCAAGGGGGTACACGTGAGCTCCCTACCCGTTGAAGAAGGGTTGTTGAGCGAGGGGTGCCCTGATGTGGCCTTGGAGCATTCTGGCAAGGGGCCCCATGGTTAGGGGCTACCTGGCACCTAGAAGGGACGAGTTGTTGCTCTTCTCCTATTGAAGGGAGTGGTACTCCTCCCACAAGGTAAGCTGTTGTGCCTCCCTAGGCGAGCATTAGTTGAATAATCTACTGGTTTTGTTTTACCAGCAGTGTCATAGTCTGTAAGAGCTGTTGTTGTTGTCCTGTCATAGTAGCAGATGGTTCCAGGGGTGCAAGGGGAGGTTGAGCCTCCTCCTGGTCAGTCGGGTTATTGTCTCCTAGTTGTTGACTTATAGATCTGGTAGTGGCCTTGGAGCATTCTAACCAGGACCCCATGGTTAGGGGCTGCCTGATGCCCAGAAGGGATAGGTTGCTGCTCCTTTCCTGTTGGAGGGAGTGGTACTCCTCCTACAGGGTGAGGGGTTGCACCTCCTTGGGTGAGCATCAGTTGAATGATCTGCTGGTTTTGTTTTACCAGCAGTTGCATAGTCTGTAAGAGTTGTTGTTGTTGTCCAGTCATAGTAGCAGATGGTTCCGAAGGTGCAAGGGGAGGTGGAGCCTCCTCCCGGTGAGCCGGGTTGTTGTCTCCCCATTGTTGACTCATCGATCTGGTAATGATTGCCATAGATTGAAAGAGAGTAGAAAATTAGTCATTTCCCACAAACGACAGCAAACTAATAATGCACAAATTGGTATTGCGCTAAATCAACAGTGAAGGATGTGTATGGATGCAATCATTAAGCAGTAAACAATCAATTAATAATAAAGTTGTAAATAAAGAAACAACATAGAGATTTATTGTGGTTCAGTCCGAGTGACCTACTCCACTCTCGGGAACGGCAGCGATGACCTGAGTCTTTTATTAATTAATGAAATTGCCGAAGAAAGTATTCTCCAAGAGTATTACAATGCTTTTGGGGGAGAGAGAGAGAGAGAGCAATGTGTGTTGGGAGGTGTAGTATGTGTAGGGATCTCAAGGTGTAGTGGCCTTAAAAGGTGATGTGAAGATATCTCTCCTTGTGGAGAGAGCTTGCATTATATAGGTTTACAAAGGCAGTGACGTGAGGGATAGGGCTTCCACTATTTTGGTAAGTACAGTTATGGCAGGATTAGATCTCCGTATCCCAATATTATTTCCCTCGTTTTCCTATTCAGTCGGAGGAAGATCCTAAGTTGGGTTGGAGTTAAGTTGGAGAGACCAAGTGAGGAGAGAGACCACTGGCTTGGCCCAGTTAACTTCAGGTTCATCAAATATGATTATTGGATCTTTAAAAGAGAATAAATCTCCCAATTAAAGATTTGACTATGTATTTGAATATTCCTTGATTTGAGTAAAAAAAAATTTCCCTTGATTTGATATGGTTATCCATTAAAAGATGATGAAATCTCACCATTAAAGATTTTAGTTTTAAAAATGTTTCTCTTTGGGTTTGGAAAAAGGTTTTTTTATTTATTTATTTGGTATGGGTATGTGTCTAGTATTGAAAAAATATTTTAGATAATTTTTATCTAAATTTAAATTTAAGTATAAAAAAGGTAAAGATGGGAAATGTTTTATTGAAAATTTTTATTTAAGAATTCTTTTGTCTAGATTTTAATTTGACCTTAAAAACAGTAAGATCGGGGAGATTAAGTCGGTTTCTCAATTTGGTTTTTAATTTTTAAAGATACGAGTGTCTTTCTTCACTCTCTCTTCTGTTTTTATGAAATGGCTTCCACGACACCCTACGGCTCAATCTCAGCACCCCAAGAAGAACACGATACATCCACAGTCTTTAATTTGTCTTCATCATCTTCAACAGTTCGATTTGGCACTCGTGAAGCCCTTGAACACGTTTGAAAACTCATCGATGTAGGAGTCATAACTCGTCTCCTCCACGAATGCATTTCTTACCAATGAGCCCTAGATATTGAACTAGACACCATTCTCTCCCAGCGCTCCGATCTCGACAAACAACTCTCCAACCTCCACAAATCCACCGAGCTCCTTGAGATCATCAAGGTCGATTCCAACCACCTGCTCTCCAACGTCCGCTTCACATGCGATCTCGCTAGTCCCACGTCAATGACACTCTTCTCCGCATCGACGACATCGTAGAGAGACGTAATTGCATTAATGGTGTTAAGAAAGCTCTCCAAACTGAAGATTTTGAATTGGCTGCTAAATACATCCAACCTTCCTCCAGATCGATGCCAAATACAGAGATTCTGGTTCGAATCATAGAGAACTGTTGCTAGCATCCAAGAAACAGCTAGAAGGAATTGTCAAGAAGAGGTTATTGGCTGCTATGGATCAGCGGGACCACCCGGCAATCCTTCGGTTCATTAGATTATACTCTCCTTTTGGTTTGGAGGAAGAAGGATTGCAAGTGTACATAAGTTATTGGAAGAAAGTAATTTCGATGAGATCTAGGCTCGAATTTGAGCAATTGGTGGAATCAATGGAGCAATAACAATCCTCTACCGCTACTACAAATCAAAATCAAGTGAACTGTGTTGCTTGTTTGACAAATTTTTTCAAAGACATTGTGTTAGCCATAGAAGTAAATAATGAGATTTTAAGGATTAATCTATGCAGTGAAGGTGGAATTATGTATGCTATATGTGAGCTCCAAGATGCGGGGTTCCTTATTTTTAAAGAAACAAATGGAATATCAAAAATTGGCTAAGTTGACATCTGAAATTAATGCTTACAAGTGTGACTTACTTTCTGTTGGGGTCCAAGGACCTAACCCAAGGGAGATCGAATTGTATTTGGAAGAGATTTTGCAATTGACACAGTTGGGGTGAGGACTACACTGATTATATGGTGTCCAAGATAAGGGGTTTGAGTTTAGTTGATCTGAAATTGCTTCCCCGAGCAACCAGAGCTTTTAGGAGCGGAAATTTTAGTAAAGTTGTTTAGGACATTATGGGTTATTATGTGATTTTGGAGGGGTTCTTCATGGTGGAACATGTGATGAAGGCTATTCGCATTGATGAGCATGTACTTGACAGCCTCACAACGTCCATGGTGGATGATATGTTCTATGTTCTACATAGTTGTTATAGGAGGTCGATATCCACTTCTAATATTAACTCAGTGATTGCAGTACTGAGCAGTGTTGTGAGTTTGTTGGGTGGCGAGTATAATGAAGCGTTGCAGTAGAAAATGAGGGAGCCTAACCTTAGCGCGAAGCTACTCATGGGTGGTGCTGGTGTGCAAAAGACAGGGACAGAGTTTGCGACAGCTTTAAATAACTTGGATGTCATATCGATTATGCTCTAAAACTACGACATGAGATTAAAGAACAATGTTCAGAGGTCAGTGGCAATCGTACTTCTCTTTTGGTTATTTCTATTCAATCCCCATCTTTCTTAAGGATTTTTTTGTTTTGGCTCTTTGTCTGGGTAGAGCTTTACATTCAAAGTTTCATTTCTTAAAGGAGTATACTAAAATTGCTAGTTCATACATAACACAATGTGGTATTGGCTTGCTTCTCTTTCCATATACAAATTTTATTTAATGGAACATAGACCTCTCTTATTTCTGGTAATATTTTCGGGACCATGTTTAGCTTGGGTACTAAATTAAGTCCCAACATTAATTTGAAAACAGTGCCACATGTTATGTTTCTGGATAGGAACTTTTAGGTGCTCAACGGCTACAATTTGAACCATGTACAACCTGATGAGGCTAAGGTCACTAAGTTAGCCCGTTTCACCTACGATTGCATGGCCACAGACATGGCCAAAGTGAAGAGGTTTGAGGATGGTCTGAAACTATCCATTCGGGAAAAAATTGTGGGCCTCCGTCTACAAGATTTGGATTCGATGGTCGAGACTGCAATGACGATTGAACGAGAGATGGACGATGCAAGGAACATTTNAATTGTGGGCCTCCGTCTACAAGATTTGGATTCGATGGTCGAGACTGCAATGACGATTGAACGAGAGGTGGACGATGCAAGGAACATTTGGGAGACTAGAAATAAGGATAGGAGGAAGGAGGGCCAATCCTCTTCCTCTAGTTCAGGAAAGAGGCAGAGGACTTCTACTCCCCAAGAACATCAAGGACAAGGCCGCGGCTACCAAGGCCATGGCCAAGGTCAATCCTCCCAAGGCGGGAGACACTTCAAGGCTTCTAGCTAAGCAGGCTCACCAGCATGTTTCTATTGCCACCAACTAGGGCATATGAAGCGGGATTGTCCTTAGAGGCAAGGATCCCAAAGCTATGGGACATCTCAGTCCTAATAATCAGTGAGGCAGCCACAGACACACTACGTTCCTCCCTACCCCACCATGGGCTAGGGAAGCCAGTTCTAATTCCAACGAGCTACTCAGGCCCCTACCATATCATGAGTAGGGACTTCGTAATCAATCCAGATGGGCCAGGGCATGGGTTGAGGCCGAGGACAGGGTATGTAGGCCGAGACTTTGGGGACCCACGGGCGTGTCTATGCCATCATACCTCAGATTGAGCCAGTGGAACAATCTATTATCCAGGGTACATTTCTTCTCCCTCTCTTATGGGCTAGGGTATTATTTGACTCTAGTGCATCGCATTCTTTCATTTATGCATCTTGCGTGAGAGATTTGGGCTTAGAGGTTGAGACTTTGGAGGAGCTAGTATACGTGAGTTCTCCCTTAGGAGCTAGGGTGAGTGTTGATCAGATATGTCAGGGTTGTGAGTTAGAAATCTCAAGGATTCTACTCATTGTAGACCTCAGAGTCAATGAAATATCAGAATTTGATGTCATCATTGGGATGGACTGGTTGACGGCACACCGAGTTGTCATTGATTGTGATTGGAAGAGGGTCACTGCTTATATGTCTAATAGTGTTTGTTTCAAGTTTCAGGGGGAAAAGTATAATGTCTTACCCCAACTCGTGTACGACTTTAGATGGCAGAGGCAGTTGATGGGTTGGCTTGCGAGCCTTATCTTGGAGGATGAGGTGAGATAGGAGTGGCGTCTACATCGGGTTTTCTGTGAGCATGAGGATATTTTTCCAGACGAGCTACCAGGATTACTTCCCTATAGGGATGTGGACTTCAACATTAAGTTACATCCTGGTACTTCTCCTATTTCTATGACTCCGCATAGAATGACACCTACCAATTTGTAAAAACTCAAAGTCCAATTGCAAGAATTATTGGACAAGGGTTTTATCAAACCAAGCACTTCACCTTGGGGTGCTCTGGTTTTGTTTACCAAGAAGAAAGATAAGACTCTTCGGCTCAGCAGTTGAATCAGGTTACTATCAAGAATAGGTACCCTTTGTTGAGAATTGACGATTTTTTTGATCAGCTGAAAGGAGCGTGGGTCTAGCCCAAGATAGATCTCTGCACGGGCTACCATCATTCAAGGATTAGGTAGGCAAACATCCCTATGACAGCATTCAGAATGCGGTATGGGCATTTCTAGTTCACAATGATGCCATTCAGATTTACGAATGCCCCGGCGGCATTCATGGGTCTCATGCATAGGGTGTTCTAACCCTATTTAGATTAGTTCGCCATGGTGTTTGTAGACGATATCCTAATCTACTCCAAGTCTGAGGAGGAGAATGAGGGTCACTTGAGGATTGTTCAGCAGACCTTGAGGGACCATCAGTTGTACACCAAGTTCAGCAAATGCAAATTTTGGCTTACAGACGTGAAGTTTTTGGGACATGTGGTGTCGGCTTCAGGGTATCTGTGGACCCGGAGAAGGTTGAAGCGGTAATGAATTGGAAGAAACTAAAGTCAATCTTTGAGATACGTAGTTTTTTGGGATTGGCAAGGTATTATAGGATGTTCATCTTGTATTTCTCTCGATTAGCTGCCCCTATGACGAGATTAACCCGAAAAGAGATTAAGTTTGAGTGAAATGATTCATGTGAGAAGGCATTCCAGGAGTTAAAAAGGAGGGTAACTTCGGCTCCTATTTTAATAATCTGGAGAGAGGACAAATGTACACAATATATTGTGATGCCTCTAAAAATGGACTTGGTTGTGTTTTGATGCAATTTGGGAGGGTAGTGGCTTTTGGTTATTGACAATTAAATAAACCACGAGCATAATTACCCCACACACGACATGGAGTTGACAGCCATTGTCTTTGCTTTGAAGGGTTGGCACCACTATTTGTATGGTGAGAATTTTAAGGTGTTTCCGAACCACAAAGTCTGAAGTATATTTTTACTCAGTAGGACCTCAACATGAGGCAACGCAAGTGGATGGAGTACTTGAAAGATTACGACTTCACTTTGTATTACCGTCCCGGTAAGGTGAACGTGGTGGCTGATGCACTCAGCCTGAAGTCACGGGGAATCTTGACTAGTGTGGCTTTTCCCGGAAGTGGCTGATGCTGGAGACTGTGGGATAATTCAAGCTACACTATAGAGGTCAGACACAGGGCATTTTGGGGAGCTCAGTGGCGACGCCTTCTCAGTAATTGAATCCCAAAGGTGGGACATTGAGTTATCATCCATCAAGGACGGGGTACAGGTAGGTACAAGTGATGAGGGCTAGGCCATTAATATAGATGGAAGTCTTCGATATACGGGAAGGGTTATGGTTCTCCATTCTGCGAATCTGAGAGAGGAGATCCTGAGGGAGTTTCATTGCTCCCATTTTGCGGTTCATCCAGGTGCATGAAGATGTATCATGATCTTCGTCGTTGGTATTATTGGAGTGGAATGAAGAGGCAAGTTGGCGACTTCGTCAATAGATGTCTCACATGTCAATAGGTTAAGGCTGAACACTAGAGACCAGTAGGTTTACTTCAACCATTGGAGGTGGCTGAGTAGAAGTGGGAGCACGTCACGATGGATTTTGTGACACACTTGCCACGGATATCATGGGGACATGATATAGTGTGGGTGATAGTGGACCGGCTGGAGCAGTTCTATAGGTTATATATATGAGAGATAGCCCGGTTGCATGAGGTGCCCGTATCTATAGTATCAGATTGGGACCCCAGGTTTACAGCTCACTTTTACGAGAGCTTCCAGCGAGCCATAGGGACACAGTTGACGATGAGTATGACTTTTCATCCCCAGACGGACGGTCAGTCAAAGAAGACTATCCATATTCTAGAGGACATGCTACAAGCATGTGTCCTAGACCTTAAAGGG